TTACTCTAGATTAATAATCTTTTTTAATTTTTCATTTCGGATTGCTAGGAGGGTTGGAATCGTGGGGATGGTCACGGGCTAATTTTTTGAGACCCCCCCCCCCCACTTCATCAGCTGCTAATTTTTTGAATTTTCACCTTTTTTTATTTTTTTCTGTATTCTTGAAATGTTGATAAATAACTTATAAAAAAATTAGAAAAACGGTTCACCCTAAAGGCCATCCCTGCAACTTCCCGCTCATTTTGTACTTAAACGCTTCAAACTACACATTACGTTTTTGAGCTCTTCGAGCTCAAAAATATCATTTTTGTGTCAATTTGAGCTCTTCAAGCTCAAAACTCTAATAGCAGTTTAAAGACACAATTTTTTGAATTTTCAAACAGCAATAACTTTTGAATGAATGAACCGATTTTCACGCGGTTGGCGGCAATCGACGCAGTTTTTGAAGCTCCATGAAAAATTTTCAAGTTTAAATCGATCGAGCCATGAATTTCGAAGTTATTACAAAAAAACACTTTTTTTGATTTTTTTCGACAACGATATCTCACGAATGCATCAACCGATTCTGACGTTTTTGGTGGCGATCGATGGGGGTTTTCAAGGTTAAGAGCTGATTAGTTTTTGAGACCGATCGGTTCAGCCAATTCGGAGATATTTAAAAAAAATAAAAAAAAAAAAACTTTTTTTTTCACATTTTTTTAATGCTTATTATTAAAAATTTATAGTATAAAAAATTATTTTAATGATTTCATAGTTAAACGTTCGACGATAATCGAAAGCTATCGAGCGATAAAGTATTTTCGAATGCAGCTTAAATGCTTATCACAAATTGACTATTGGTGAGAATGATATGAAAGCTTGGAAAGGCACAACTCCAGGTCAAGACCTTTCTAGTGATACAAATTAAACTATCAAAAGCTATTTTATCATCTCAATACACTGATCACAAAATTTTTCTCATTCTCGTTCTCTTAATAATATAGATTTTTTATAAACTCATTTATTGATCAATAATGGATGATTAATAATAATTAAACTTTTTACAGAAAAAATTTCTAAAATTTTTAAGCAGTGTAAAGTAAAAATGGCTAAAGAGGCTGCCAAAACTCGGGAATTAAACAGAACGGCTCAAATCTTGAGAGAAAGATTAGAGAGTGGTGGGTGTGACCTTCGAGACTTCCTTCAGATCATTGGATATTCCAGGCCGAACATTCAAGCGTTCATCAACCCTGCTCTGGATCGTCCTCTTTGTAAGTGAAATAATAAAATATTAGTTTTATTTATTTTAATATTATATTTAAAAAAATGATTTTTAATAAAAACTTGCCTTTTTTTTTCAGATCGTTTTGATCCCTTCTCCGAAACAATCTCCCAGATTGATCGATTGGGCGTCCATCGTGCGGTTATTGTAGATCCTGTTGACGTCCCTGTCTCCGATGTTGTTCCTGGTGCTCTTGACGTGCCTGTCCCTGTTCTTGTTCCGGACTTCGCCGAAGTTGAACCCGGTGATGGCGGCAACCCTGAAGATAGCGGTAATCCTAATATTGACAGAAATCCAGTTAACGACGGCGGCGGCGGTGATCTTGGTGATGACGTCAGAGTGGCTCATCCACCAGCTCCTAATTCTGTGAACGCAGACGTTGATGACATTTTAGCAGATGACGCGTATTATCGAGGGGAAATACACCTGATCGATGAGCCTATTGAGCAGCCATGGATACATGAGGCAACCACTAATATGACTTTTGACGATGAAGAACCCCCAGACAACGAAGAACCTTGTTGCCTTTGCCGTAAAAACGCACGAAAAATGGCCTTCACCCCTTGTGGCCATCGGTGTCTGTGCCATGAGTGCACGTTCAAATTGAATAAATTTGCCCGAAGGCAAAATGCCCACCGAACTCATTATCAAATTAAGTGCGTGCTCTGCTTGATACCTAGTACAAATATAGTTTATGTACGTAACTAAAATAAAAAGTTACAGTAACTTTAAAACTATATTTAAAAAACTAAAAACTACAATCAAACTAACCAATTATTTCTTACAACTATACTAATGACTAATCTTATATTGTTAATTTACAACTACGTCTAAAACTAAACTTAATAATTAAACTTAAAATTATTTTCATTAAGATACTACTTAACAATACTTAAAAATACTTATAACTACTTAAAAATACTTAATTAGTTCTTAATAATACTTAATTAAAACTTAAAAAGTTAATTAATACGTAAAAGTTAATTCAATATTTTTATAAAAGTTTGCATGCTTGATAAATAAATAAGAAAAAAGCAATTGAAAATTAGGTCACAATTATTATTTTATAACATTTTACTCCTATCCTCTTTTCACTGCAGCAGAGATAAAGGTAAATTATAATTTTTTAAATAACATTTAAAATTAAAAATTTAACATTTAAAATAAAATAAATTTTTTACACCTCAATTGAAAATACTTGATTAAGTTTTAACGTAGTTTTGACATCGTGTTCATTAATCTTAAAAATATTTACATCAGAATTATATTTTTAAAGTAGAATTTTACTTAAAACAAAAGTTGAAATAAAAATTTGGCTAATACTAGTTTAGTATTTTTTTAGAGCTTAAATACTTCATCAAGTTTAATAATAATTAGCTTACTGGCTTCATTAAGAAACCGATTTAAATTAAATAAACATGATACTCTAGCTGTATTGAAAGACATTGCCAAAGTAATTATTGTGTTTGTTCTGTGTTCATCAATTAAATAACATTAATAAATTATCTAAAAAATTTTATAACACCTTAGATAAATTTTAATTTCTTTTATAGTCATACGTCGTATTATTGCATAATTTATATTTAATAAATACTTTATTATTCTTAATCTATTTTTAATTAAAAAAAATATTAGTTATTAATAAACGGAAGAATTATTCATTAATATATATATATATATATATATATATATATATATATATAAATATTGTCAAGTAGAATAAATACTTTAAGATTTAAATAGACTATCAAATTATATCCTGTCGTTACTAATACAACGTTTATCTATTCATCTCTTCTCTATCAAAAATTTGAATTATTCCGCGCGAATAATGGAGTAAAGCTGTTATTGAGTTGTCTTGTCATGGAATAAACGCGTCGAACGATTGGAGTACAGTTGTATTTGAGTATAGGTGTCTCTGCGTACAGCTGTAATTCCTTGGTCGGAGTACAGAAGTTTTGAGTTGAGCTTTATCGGTGCCGATAAACATACATACTGTCAAACGTGGCTTTGATAAATGAAGTAGCAAACACAACTGTTACTTGTTGATTCAACTGACTGTGATGATCAGAGTAGCATTGAACACAAACGTTTGGAGAGTGTTCAGAGGATAAAATTTTTTTTTTAAATGATTATGATGATTATATGAGTATTACATAGAAAAAAAAATTAAGTTAATTCAAGAGAAAAATTCTTGAACCAAGAAAATATTTTTAAAGAGTTTTGTTGTCTTGAATCAAGACGAAAAATTTTTGGATCAAGCAAAATTTACTTAAACCAAGAAGAATTTCTTAGTTTAAGAATTTTTCTACTCAAATAAAGAAGATGAAGTTCTTAAAAATTATTTACTTGATTCAAGTAAATTTTTTTTTCTGTTAGAGTCTCATTTTTGAAATAGTTCATTAGAAATTAATGTAATTACCCGAGTTTTATCAATTTTATCAGTTAAAGTATGAGCTGCCATGGAATGTCGCTCTATCTCATCCAAAAATAAATTTTTTATTTTTCATTTAACGTTTTTTTTTATTCATATGTTAGCCATGTCCTTAATTTCATTTATGATAGATGATTCAGCTTTCAGAATGATCGAATTGATTTGTGAAAGGATAAAAAAAGTTAACTCGTAAAACCAAGGTCCTGTATGAATTTTAGCAGGACTACTATTGTTGTAGTTACTAGCTCTATAACATGACATAGTCGAATGATTTATTCTAAAATACCGCTACCCGTCTAAATCTTATATTCAATGATTACAACGATAAAATAAGGATATTTTTAACTCTAACAATTCGAAACAGATATGTTGAAAAATATGATATCAATAAAATCAAAGATAATCTTTGATTGTGCCGTATAAAAATTTTTAATTGAGTCATTGACTTCAACTACTATCGAACTATAATTAACGATAATATACCGATTAAGATTTATTTTTAGTTGATTTTTATGACGAAATTCAAAATTTTTTCAAGGGGAAATATGTCATTAAGTTCCCGAAAAAGTTCTTTTTAATTATTGCTATTAAGCAATTTTAACTAATAGGTCTTTTTTAATTTGCTAGTTTTTGTAAGAAGGAGGTTTTTAAAGTTTAAACTCCAGATAAAAAATCTATCAAAGTATATTTGAACAAAACGTGTTAATGAGCATCATTTCGGTTTTTAGATTTTTTGGTGTAACATTATTTTCAAATATTTTTAAACGAATAACTAGAAAAAAGAAATCATGTTAATTTCAAGTCGTGACTTAATTGTAATTTTTATTAGTCTTAATATTAGCATAGTTTTATCAAAAAGTTGTACACCAATCGACGATTTTGAAGATGCACAAATAATTATGACACGTTCGGCTGAAATTGATAGAAATTTTAATCGTAAAATTAGTATTTATTGGTACAACAAAAATTTTATTAACGGAGATGTAGTTGCTATTTATAACAAAAATCCAAATAGAAACAATGCAACTCTCCTCTTTACGCATAAACCGAATATTCATAGTGGTAGTATGAAAACTCCATTAACAATATCATTTTTAAATAATTATATTGCAACACCTCGGCGAGACGTTTGTTTAGGTAAGTAAAAACAAGTAATATTAAATTAATAGAATCGGTTATTTGCAGATAAATTATTCAATTACTTTTTTTAATACAGTGAAGTCTCTCCAACTTTAACTCTAAGGGGTCTCAAATTTATAGGAAAATTTTGAAGACATAGGAAGTTGACTTCCGTAACTCCAAAATTAAAGACCAAAAAAAAAAAAATTGGGGAGACTTCAGTGTAATTGATACATTAATCTTCGAATTCATAAATTAAGTGAATGAAACGTTATCATAAATTAAAAAAAAAAAATCAATCGTTTTCACTCCAAATAAATTTTCTTGAATCATAAAACAATTTTTTTTTTTTCCTATGTTTTTATGTCATTATAAAAATATTTATGTCATTATAAGGTCAAACTTAAGAGCGAATCGATTAATAGAGACAATTAAAACTACCAAAAATTTTATATATAATAGCCCGAGAAATAAGATCGTTAATCTAATCAATGATAATTCGTCGCACCTCGAATTATTTGACACTTCGTTTGTATCATCGGTTAAAAGACTGCTTCTAACCAATAACCACTAGCATCTTAAAAAGTGCAATTTAATTTCATCTTGTAATAACTACTTTTAGAAATATTTTTTTATAATACTAATAATTTAAACTTATAAAGTAAATGAAATTGATTTAATTCAATTTAATTTAAGTTTAATTTTATTGAAATGTTAATACTCTTTTTACCTTATTTTTATGTTTTTTTTTTTTACCTATAACCAAATTTAATTGATGTAAATCTAATGTATAAAGCCGATTGGCGTATGAATAAATAAATAAATAAATAAATAAAATTATGAAATTGATTTTAAACTATTCCAGAAATTCATAAGAATTTTTTAAATTCTTGAGTGGGTTACATAATTTTTTTTTCCTCAGGGTATTTTGCTGCTTGGATTAGAAATGATAAACCAAGAAAAATAGTTTGTCTAAAATCACATCGTAACTGGATGTACGAAATGAAAAACTCAATAGGCCCGTACCGTTTAAGTGAAATTATTTTACCAGGAAGCTATAAGTCAGGATCATATATTAAAAATTTACCACCAAGAGAGAGTTATGTTGAAAAATTTACTGTCACACAAGTACATAATTAGTATTCATAAATTATATATTAATATATCTGGATGGTAATTTATGATATATATTTGTTTATAGAATCAAGACATATATACTCAGTTAGTTCACGGGGTTCGTTATATTGAAATTCAACCTGGTTATTATCCTAACGATACTGTCAAATATTGGTCAAATGAAAAGTGTTTAAAACAGATATCTTTATCAAGAATATTTTGGGTAAATAAAAATATTTATCGCGTTTATATTTAAAATTATAAATATTGATTATAAATATTTTCTAAATTAAAGGATATCAAGCTTTTTCTTCAATCAACTAAAGAAATAGTTCTACTGACTTTCCGAAATTTTCCAGAAGGTATTAATCAATTTTTTTGCGTGTACTGAGAAAAAATTTCTTTTAAAAGAGATAAGCAATTTTGTAATATGAAATTAATTTATAGAATTAAGTATATAGAAATATAGAAAAAAAGTTTTCTAGATTTGGAAAAAAAACAATTTTAAATGAACAACTTGTGAATTTTTTTTTCAAATTTAGAAAACGTTTTTCAAAAAGAGAGTTACTATGAGAAAAATTTTTATTTTTTTAACTAAGAAATAAAATTGTCAAAAACTTGCAACAAATTCATTTCTTGTCACAACAATGTCTTTTTTTCAAAAGAAATTTTTTCTCTCAGTGTAGTTTGATAAAACTGTCACAAAAATAATCTAATTTGAAAAATGCACCCATAGGTTTCAAAAATAAAGATGACTATGATAAATTCGAAACTTTCCTTGAAGAACAATTCGACGAATACTCAATGATGAGAAATTCCGCCGATCTATGGAATCTTACATTGAATGAAATTTGGAAATCAGATCGGCGGCTCATTATAAATCTTGATCATGTTTTTCAGCCTGAAAACCATTCTCTACTCAAACCTAGATATGAAGAATTAGAAAATGAAAAATTAATTGAAGTTGTTAGCGGAGTAATATATTCAGAGTATTACGCCGGATATAATTCAGTTGTACCAAAGGACAGGTCAGTAAATA